AAACTATTATATTTTTAAAAAATAAAATATTTATGATAATATATTAACATTAGCTATATAAATATTATATATTTATAAAATATAAGTTATATTATTAATATATTATATTAATATAATATATATATAAACAAAATAAACCCTAAACCACTTTACCCCCAACCAGCCTCCCCTTCCCATCTCAAAAGCTTTAGGTTTTGGTTGCCTCCCCTTTTTTTGATTCTTCTCCTTCTCATCTCAAAATAGCGAAAAACTTTCGGCCATGAGAGTTTTGTTGGGTAATGTGGAGACCCAGTCCACCGAATTTAATTAGTTTCTTAATTAAATATTCCACCTACCGCCCACCTACCGCTCACCTACCACATCCCAGCTACCGCTCAACTACCTCCCACCTATCGCTCTTATGGTTTATATAAATAGTCTCTTTTGGTTTAAAGTCAAGCAAAGCCAAACCAAGTCCTCTTGAGAGCTAAGAGAAAGAGAGGAGAGAGAGCGAAGAGAGACCAACGAAGTGAGAGATTCCTCTTGTAAGTCGAGGTAATCGGCTGATGTAAATTCCTCAAGTAGTAAAATCATCTCAGCTCCGTGAACGTAGGCAATTTTGTCGAACCACGTAAAACTGTGTGTCGCTCTGGTGTTTTTTCTGCGTGCATTTTTTCTCGTTCCAATTTTTCGCTTTATTGTCGTCGTTTTTCACAACAACTAGTATCAAAGTTTTGGGTTCGAATCTAAGGAATAGCGATGGGCGAAGACGAAGTGATGACATCGGGGATGGAGAAGTTCAATGACACAAATTTTGCTTACTGGAAAATGCAGATAGATGACTACCTCTATAAGAAGAAACTTCATCTTCCGTTAGTGGAAAATCGACCAGAAAAGATAGACGAGGCGGAATGGAATCTGTTGGATTGACAGACTCTGGGGGTTATACAATTAACCCTATTGAGATCGGTTGCCCACAACGTCATCAATGAGAGGACTACTGCAGATCTCATGACGGCTTTATCAGGTATGTATGAAAAGCCATTAGCGAATAACAAGGTGCATCTGATGAAAAAATTACTCAACATGAAGATGGCGGAAGATGTGTTTGTTACACAACACCTGAAGGATTTCAACACTATCATAAATCAGTTATCATCTGTTGAAATTGATTTTGATGATGAGATACGTGCGCTGATATTGTTGGCATCATTGTCAAACAACTGAGAAGCCATGATGATGGCAGTTAGCAGTTCTGCAGATAAATCTAAGTTGAAATATGATGATATTTGTGATTTTATTTTGGCTGAGGAGGTGCACAAAAAATATTCTGGCGAGACCTCGGATTCGAGTTCGACACTGATTGTTAATTCCAGAGGGAGATCACAAGACAGAAACTCAAACCGTGGAAGATCAAAATCAAAGTCAGGTCAACAGGCAACCTGCTCGAATTGTGGCAAAACTGGTCACATGAAAGGGAACTGTAGGAATCCTAAGAAGAAGGAGAATGATGACACTAATGTTGTAACTGAAGAAATAAAGGATGCACTATTTCTGACAGTTTACAGTTCTGTTGATGATTGAATACTGGATTCAGGGGCTTCCTTCCATACATCTTCCTGTCGGGAGTTAATGTGAACTTATGTTGCAGGTAACTTTGGGAAGCTATATCTGGCTGATGGAAAAGCTCTAGATGTGGTGGGGATGAGAGATGTTGATATTGCACTCCCTAACAAGAGCAAATGGACTTTGCAAAAAGGTCAGACACGTTCCTGAGTTGAAGAAAAACCTCATCTTTGTTGAACAACTCAATGAGAGTAGTCATTCGGTGGTGTTCTCCGATAGCACCTGGAAGGTTACCAAAGGAGCATTAGTACTAACTCAGGGTAAGAAAACTGATACACTATATATGACTACAGGTTTACTCAGGCGTGAACACATGAGTCAGAGGTGCATTATAGGAAAGCAGAATAAGGTCTATTTCTTGAAAAGTGGCAGAGCGCCAAAAGCGGGAAAATCGGACCATGTACAAACAAATGGTGGAGAACCACAAAGTTATAAATAAATCTTGCAAAATGAGAATTCGAGCAAGTGGGAGCTAGCCAAGGAGGAGACGGATTCCCTGCCAGAGAATCAGACTTGGGAACTGACAGAGCTTCCACCAAGGAAGAAGACATTGCACAACAAGTGAGTGTACTGGATGAAGACTGCGTTTGGTGGCAGTAAGAGCTATGAGAGTAGACTTGTTAAAAAAGACTTTCAGCAGAAGCAGGACATTGCTCATGCAGTGAGAGTTGTAAGCAGATACATGAGTAACCCAGGAAAGATCTTGCCGATACAATGCTACGTTGACGGTGACATGTCAACTGAGGGTGTTGTGAAAAACTGAAGTTATGCTCAACTTCAGCTGGTTTTCTGACATGAAGAATGAGGCTTTGAGTTGCAGAGGTGAAAGATATCATGTTTGAGGAAAAGTTCGGTACAACTAGTAGATGATGCAGCTAGTAGGTGATGCATTCAGTGTCTCAGTCTCCAAGTGGGAGAATTGTTGGGTAATGTGGAGACTCAGTCCACCGAATTTAATTAGCTTCTTAGTTAAGTATCCCACCTACTGCTCACCTACCTCCCACCTACCGCTCTCATGGTTTCTATAAATAGTCTCTTTTGGTTTAAAGCCAAGCAAAACCAAGTCCTCTTGAGAGCTAAGACAAAGAGAGGAGAGAGAGAGGAAGGGAGAGAAGAAAACAGAAATTTAGATTGATTTTCTTGTTAACGTCGAGACGCTCGACGGTGTAATTCCTCAAAGTAGTGTAATTCCTCGAAGTAGTAAAATCCTCTGCAGCTCCGTGGACGTAGGCAATTTTGCCGAATCACGTAAAGATGTGTGTCGCTCTGGTGTTTTTTCTGCGTGCAATTTTTCTCGTTATAATTTTTCGCTTTATTATCGTCGTTTTTCACAACAAACTTAGGGTTTGTCGTTTGTGTTCGTTCTCTAATCTCTACTTCCATTTGTCTTCAATAAAGTTTTTTTGTCCTCAACGAGTCGGTGACTCAGCGTTGGATCGACTGCTCGGTATTCTTGCTTGGTTGCTCGATATTTTTGCTTGGTTGCTTGTAAGGCTACCGAGGAGTCATCTTTGAGTATCTTTTCTTTAATATTTTATATTTATCTTTAGGTTCGCCTCTTAGCTTAAATTTTCTTATATTTCTTTTAGATTTATTTAGTTCTTTTGAGTGAAACAGTTTTTGATGTTTTTGGGAGTGAAATCTCGCATATTGTCTCTAGATCTGAATTTTTATGGATAAGATCTGATATTATGGTTTTGTTGTGAGCTGTGTTTCGGTTATTGTACATTTACGCTGTGATTCATACAAATTTAAGCATTAATTTCATACAGATTTAAGCTTTTGAAAGATTTTGAACAATTCAAACAATTCGAACAATATAATAAATTTATAAGATTTCGAACAATTCAAATAATTGCAATAATTCGAACAATTAGAATATTTCAAACAAATCAAACTGAACACAAACAATAACTTCACGAACAATTTCAAACACGAGTCTATTTCAAACACACTTACCTTCAAATGAACCGAACACGAACACAAACTCTGTTCGTTTACACCCCTAGACAGAACCTAAAAAAAGAAGCTAGTTCCGCCCTGAAGATGGCCCTATTCTGCAGCCAAATAATAAACAACTTCATGATCTAATTTGATCATTTTTATGAAGATTTGACACTTGATGAAGGTAGATGAAATCGGCTCATTTGTAGGTGTGTTTGTTAATATATATACAAGTAAACTTACAGGAAAATGTTTCGCTTTCTGATTTTCAAATTTTGTATTGTTAATCTGAGTGGTTTGCCCTCAAGTTGTTCACATATTGCTACCCTCCCTCTCATGTGCACGTCTCTCGCTCTCTCGCTACAAGCAAACTGGTCAGAGGGAGGTTCGAACCCGTGACCTAAGGGGACTTACGACCTTCCAAAAGACTGCTCTTCCAACAGGCTTATGCGGCGAGAATTTGTTAAGCTTAATAATAATGATGCAATGTAACCCAAACTATAATATAATTTTGATGAAAATAATTTATCTTTAAAAATCTCTTTAAAATTTCAATTCCCGTTTATATATTACGCAAGTATACGTATCGCTCAAGTAATATAAGGCTCTAATGAAGTCCTAGATATCGATCCCACAGGGAAGCTGAAAATATATATAAGCTAGTTATTTATATTCTATTATAATATAAAAATAAAGTGAAGAGCTAAATTTGAAATTAAAC